TCCAGAAGACTTGAATAACACCATCAATAAATTTGACCCAATAGCATTTATAGTACATTCCACCAAATAGCAAAATATCTCTTCTTTTCAAGAGCACATGGAACATTCACCATAATGGAACATATACTATGATCAGAATCAATCACACGTCAAAAATGTACAATTTTGATTTTTTTTACAAAGTATGTTTTCTGATCACAACAGAATTAAACTAGACTTCAGTAACAAAAATATATGGAAAAAAAAATCACAAATATGTGGAACTTACCTCTCAATAATCCATGAGTCAAAAAGAAAATCAGAACGAAAAATGAAAATACTTTGAAGGAACAAAAATGAAAACACAACTTATCAAAATGTGGAGAGAGGCCCTGTACCACAGGGCCTGCTAAGGTTGAGACAGGAATACTGAAGAAGCCCTCCCACATTCCAGGCCCCACAACAAGCGCAGGTAAGAATCTGAAGTCTGTGGATGTTCAGATCACCTCCTATTCACCCCTTCACGGAGGGAGGGACCCGCCCCTCAAAACAGTATCAGGTGGCCAGATGGACAACACACAACACTGAAGACAAAAGAGAAGAGACTGACAGTGGTTTATTGGTCACAGCTACTCACAGCCCAGGGCAAGACGACACCCTGTAGGGCCACAGTGAGTCACTAGGCTGTGAAAGTGAGGTTTTGTGTAACAAGAGGGTGAGGTATGCCCTGGTTCTGAAGAGGGTTCCCATGGGAGGATGTGACTGGCTTCTCTGAGTAATTCTGTGGGCTAGCAGGGAAGTGAAACCCAAAAGGTTGAAGGAGGGAGATGCCAGAACTAGGCAGATGGGGAGCCTTTCCCGCTGGCGGGGGGCGGGGGGTGGGGGGCATATCTGGCAAGAGCAGTGGAACTCACAGTTAAGTTTTTGGGGCCCAGTGAGGCTCAAAGATGTCAAGGCAGTACATGAAATGTCAGGCCTTCCAATACAGTGGGTACCCTGAAGGTAAATAGAACAACAACCAAATCCAAACCTGGCCCACCTACAGATTAGATTAATATATTAAAGGATCTTAAAAGGTAAGACAGCACATGTGAATAGATGGGGAATTTAAACAGATTAAAAGTATAAAAAATAAAATATAAATGTTAGCAAAATATACTATCATATTTGAATACTTCCTTTAACAAGTTTATCGGTATACTGGACATGGCAAAGAAAAGAATTAGTGTACTGGAAGATAGATCAATATATAAATCATACAAACTAACACACAAACAGCAGATCCTGGCTCTTGGAAACTAAGTAGAATAATTACAAAGAAAAACATACCCAGGAGCACTGTAGTAGTAAAACTGCCAAAAAACAACAAAATAAAAATAATAATAATAAAGAGAAAATCTTGAGCACAAAGAAACATTTACATACACAGGAACTTCTCGTCAGAAACTATGTAAGCCAGAGAGACATCTTTAGAGTACTGAAAAAGAAAAAAATGAGTTCCATAAAGAATTACATTTTTTTTTTTTGAGAGACTTTATTTATTTGACAGAGAGAGACACAGCGAGAGAGGGAACACAAGCAGGGGGAGTGGGAGAGGGAGAAGCAGGCTTCCCCACGGAGCAGGGAGCCCAATGTGGGGCAGGATCCCAGGACCCTGGGATCATGACCTGAGCCAAAGGCAGACGCTTAATGACTGAGCCACCCAGGCGCCCCAAGAATAACATTTTTGTTAAAGAAGACAGTAAGATGATTTTGAGAAAAAGCTAAAATCACTGTCAGCCAAACATATACTACCAACAAATGACTACATTACAAGGAAGTTTCAACCTTAAGCTTCAACCTTAAAAAGATACTAGGAAAAGACAAAGCACTTAAGGCTAAAGCAAGCTGAAGAAAGGAAATGACACAATAAAGGCAGAAATTGATGAAACAAACAAACAAAAAATCAATCAAACAAAAAAAACTGGTTCTTTGCAAAGATAATACAACTGACAAACTCCTAGCTGGACTGATGAGGAAAAGAGAAAGAAGAGCTAAATTACCAGTATCAGGAATGTGAGAGGGGGCATCACTACAGCTCCATCCCAAAGACCTTCAAAGGGTAATAGGAGATTATGATCCACTTTATGACAATAAACTAGACAACTCAAGATAAAATGAACAAGGAGAAAGTGGTCAGCAAGACACAGGAGTAGGAGATACCTGTCTTTGTATCTGACAGCTATGGACAAATGAAAATAGCTCTGGGAGGATGGATGTAGTAAGAGTCAAGTAAGAAGCTATGGCAACACAGTGGAGCAAAAAACGAAGAACAAGCACATAGAAAGGATCACTGCAGAGGCAGGCTTAGCTGAGACATCTGGAAATGGCTAAGCACGAAAAAAGAAGGGGAAAGGCTATCGGTATAAACCACGTAGTGGGTGCCACTGTGGTCGCCAGTAGCCTGCTGTGCAGAGGAACCCAACAGCCCTCAGGACAGCTTCAGAGTCCCTGCCACGTTCACAGCAGAGGACTCTGCAGCGTTTGTTGGCGTGGACTCCAACAGCCTGCTCTGCAGAGGAAACGGACAGCTTCTGCCACCGAGGTAACCAGCAGCCATTGCTGATACTGACCTCCTAGAGAGGGGCACGCTGCTGCACCCCTCCCAGAAGACACTGCTGCATCCCCACCCCAGGAACAGGGCTGCCAGCCCCAACCTCCAACCCTGTGCACACCCAGGACCCCAGGACCCCAGCTGCTCCACACGCACCCACACTTCAGACTTGGATTCCACGGCTGCTCCCCATGTGCTCACATCTCCAGCACTGACACTGCTGGCCGGCACACCAGACCCCAGACTGCTGTCATTCTACAAGCCTCCATGCTCCACACCTGCCTCTGTAGCTGCTCCATGCACGCTCACGCCTCATGCTCACTGCCACGGCAAGGGTCCTCCAAAGCCAGGTCCAATGCCAACAGGGATCCCTCTGGCAATGATATATCCCATGGGAGAGAAAGAGATCAGGAGGTCCCCAGCAGCCTTTGCCACCAGAGACCCCAAGGCCTTCACTGCCGCTGCAGATACCCGGAGTGCTGGCTGTTGAAGACCCCTGCAATTTAACTGACACTGACCTCAGCTGATGAAGCTGATGGGCCTTCCCAAGAGCTGGAACCATCATACCCACCCTTCCAACACCCTTGTACCCACTGCAGGTGACGGGTCTCTCCCCACTAAAACCAGTCAGTAAAGTCTGGTAGAGGTGCCTACTCAATCAAATGCACAAACATTAACACAAGGCTATAAGAAATATGAAAAATTAAGGAAACATGACATCACCAAAGAAATACAGTGATTTTCCAGTAACTGACCCCAAAGAAATAGAAATCTATGATTTCCTGATAATGATTTCAAAATAAAGGTTTTAAGGAAGCTCAGTGAGCTACAAGAAAATACAGATAGAGGGGCGCCTGGATGGCTCAGTCGGTTAAGCGTCTGCCTCCAGCTCAGGTCATGTTCCCGTGGTCCTGGGATGGAGCCCCGCATTGGGCTCCTTGCTCAGTGGGGAGCCTGCTTCTCCCTCTCCCTCTGCCTGCCGCTCTGCCTACTTGTGCTCTCTTTCTCTGTCAAATAAATAAATAAAATCTTTAAAAAAAGAAAATACAGATAGAACTGAAATCAGGAGATAGACTCCAAAATCAGGAAAACAATAAACAAAATAAGCTCAATAGAGAAAGACATCATAAAAACAAAAATTCTAAAGCTAAAGAATACAATGAATTAAATGCAAAATGCAATACAGAACATCAATAACAGACATGACCAAGATGAGAAAAGAATCTGTGAACTCAAAGACACGTCATTAGAAATTATCTGGTTAGAGTGAAAAAAAGGAAGAATCAATGAAAGAGAGTGTATCCGGTTAGCAGACGGAAGGAAGCAACAAAGGTCAGAGGAGAAATAAATGAAGTATAAACTAGAAAAACAACAGAAAAGATCAATGAAACTAAGAGTTGCTTTTCTGGAAAGATAAACAAAATTGACAAACTTTAACTAGGCTAAGAAAAAAAGTGAGAAGACTGAAATAAATAAAATCAGAAATGAAAACTAGAGTAGACATTACAACTCATACTGCAAGAATACAAAAGATCACAAGAGACTACTATGAACAATTATATACCAACAAATTGGATAATCTAGAAAGCATGACTGCCACAGAAAGCTATCTGTGGACTACTCAAATAGAAATTTCCCCCATTTCAAAGAGATTATAAGCTTAATTAAAGAGCGATTCCATAAATACAAAGACAAAAGAAGTACATAATAGTAGATAAGATTATCTAGTATTTAAAATCCAAGTAAGAGGGGCGCCTGGGTGGCTCAGATGGTTAAGTGTCTGCCTTCAGCTCAGGTCATGATCCCAGTGTCCTGGGATCGAGCCCCACATCGGGCTCCTGGCTCAGCGAGGAGCCTGCTTCTCCCTCTCCCTCTGCCTCTCTCCCTGCTCATGCTTTCTCCCTCCCTCTCTCAGTATCTCTGTGTCTCATATGAATAAATAAAATCTTTAAAAAATAAAAAAATAAAAAATAAAATAAAATCCAAGTAAGATACCACATATCATTAAGAGGAGTCAAGGATTGAAAACCTATAAAGCGTACTTTCCTACTCTGCTTGGTACAGGTTGTTTCTGTATTAAAGGTCCACATCAAATTCAGGCTCAACAATTAATAAAATAACTAGAAAAATGTAAAAGGTCTAAGGGAGAGCAACAAACTTAAAAAGCAGAGCTCAGAAATATTTAGTGCAAAAGGTCAGAAAAGCTATCCATATTTTAACCTTGGAACTTAGAGCTTCCTGACCTTGGGTCTTATAATTACTTCCCAAAACAAATGTCAATTTCTCCCTCTAGGCTCTAAGACTAGCCTTCATTCCATGTGGAGCAGATACAAATTCCTAAGTCATGCGCTTGCTAAACGGTTTATCAGATTCTTAATAAAGACAAAAATATTCCCATCCCAACATTTTATTTCAATTTTCTACTTACGAAGTCTTGACGTATGTCGTTGAAGTCTTTGCCGTATTTTTCCAGTGCCTCTTCAAATAAACTAGCTTCGGAGGCTGACCACTCTTCCATTTCATCTCTGCATAAAACAGGTCCTCCAAGTGGTACTAAGACACTAATCGCGCTGCTCAAATCATAGCTGTGCCGATACAACGTATCCATAGCATGAAACTAAAGAAAACAAAATGGAGAAAAAAGATCAGCTAGAAACGCAAACTTACTAGGTTATTTAAGAACAGACATACTAAAATGAATGATGCGGGACACCTGGGTGGCTCAGTCGGTTAAGTGTCTGCCTTCGGCCCAGGTCATGATCCCAGAGTCCTGGGATGGAGTCCCCTATCGGGCTCCTTGCTCAGCAGGGAGCCTGCTTCTCCCTCTGCCTGCTGCTCCCCCTGATTGTGTTCTCTCTCTCTCTCTCTCACGAATAAAATCTTTAAAAAAATAAATAAATAAAATGCATGACGCACTTAAAATTAACACTAATATACTTAGGTGTTTATTTTTTATTAAAGATTTTATTTATTTATTTGACGGAGAGAGAGACAGCGAGAGAGGGAACACAAGCAGGAGGAGTGAGGGAGGGAGAAGCAGACTCCCTGCTGGGCAGGGAGCTCGATCCCAGGATCCTGGGATCATGACCTGAGCCCAAGGCAGCCGCTGAACGACTGAGCCACCCAGGTGCCCCCTTAGGTGTTTATTTTTTTAAGTAACAAAATTAAGAAAAATTTAAACATCAGAATACTTATTTAAAATATCATTTATTGCTCTGGGGCACCTGGGTGGCTCAGCTGGTTCTGCCTTCAGTTCAGGTAATGATCCCAGGGTCTTGGGATCGAGCCCCTCATTGGGCTCCCTGCTCAGCGGGGAGTCTGCTTCTCCCTCTGTCTGCTGCTCCCCCTGCTTGTGCTCTCTCCCTCTCTGTCAAATAAATGAATAAAATCTTTTAAAAAAATAAAATAAAAATAAAGTATCATTTATTGCTTTAAGAAAATGCTGATTCGTACCTTATAAGATGTGTATTTTTTAAAATGCATTCGTTATAGTAACCTAACCGTGAAGAGCCAGGGCCTCTCAGTGTTACACTGGGAAGCCAGTAAGTTTCACCATCCTCTTGGTTAAAAGTGCCAAAATCACTTCAGCTATTGTACAGGGTTGACACAGCCTTCTTTGACAAGGAAAAAACAGATTATGTACCAGACAGAGAAAAAAATATTCTCAGGCTGGATTAAGAGAATGATGTCCTAAGAACGAGAGATATAGAAAACAGAACTGAGAACGAAGGTGACACAAAAGAAAACTACACATCCATCTTAAGCAAAACAAAAGTACATATCCATGTAAAAACAGTAACTTGGTTAGGATTCTGTAAGACCAAGAAGAGATGACCAGCCTTGCTTGAATCAGCTAGGCTGGCATGGGTTTCCTATGTATTTCAAGAGACAGTGACAGGAAGAGTAATTTGAAAGGAAGAAAGGCAGATTAGGATAATATATCTGGCTTTCTGCGAAAGTACCTTGGGTCTAGCTTACTTAAAAAATTCTTCTTCCCACTGCTTCCCAGAAGCAGTGAATAAACTTAGGTTCCAAAACTTTTTTTTTTTTAAAGATTTTATTTATTTGAGAGAGAGAATGAGAGAGAGAGAGCACATGAGAGGGGGGAGGGTCAGAGGCAGAAGCAGGCTCCCTGCCGAGCAGAGAGCCTGATGCGGGACTCGATCCCGGGACTCCAGGATCATGACCTGAGCCGAAGGCAGTCACTTAACCAACTGAGCCACCCAGGCGCCCCTAGGTTCCAAAACTTTAAGCTTTGAAAAACTTGAGATGGTTTTTCTACCAGAGAGAAAGAGATTCATTCATAACATGTATGCACATTTGTATGCGCAGCAGGAAAACTGCAAAACGGGATGATTGGCTCTGCTGTATCTGCATAAGCATATAGGTGTGGCCCAGGTTTGTTTGGCAAGGTGACCAAATTCTTCCCAAGTGAGAACTAGTTCTATTTAAACTTTCTAACGCATGAAAGCCAAGACTGCACCTTGTACACAAAGTATCTTATGAAATTTTCACAAAATGGGGAGAGCGTCACATCTACACTACAACACGGCTCTCACAATTTAGCTTGCGAGTTCCCTATTCATACAAGAATATAAAAATAGCTCAAATATCAACTAACATCTACTAAGAAGAAAGAGTTATTGTACAGTATGCATTAAAAAGACATATTTAGGGCTCCTGTGTGGCTCAGTCGGTTGGAGGTCTGCCTTCAGCTCAGGTGATGATCCCAGGGTCCTGGGATGGAGCCGTGCGTCAGGTTCCCTGCTCAGTGGGGAGTCCTTTTCTCCCTCTGCATCTCCCTCTGTCCTTCCCCCAGACTCATGCTGGCTCTCTCTCTCTCTCAAATAAATAAATAAAATCTTTTTTTAAAAAAGAGATATTTACACTGTGATACATTAAGACATTGAAAAGGGTCTAGAATAGGAATTTGCTGACAGAGCTAAAGATGGGATTTAGGACATACAGACATGTTTAAGGTATAGTAACTAACTGCTTTAACAAGGATTAACATCTCTCTTAAATAAATCGCTGGATTCCACAAAACAAAAGCAAGTAGGAATTTCATTACCTATTCCCTAGTTACAATCACAGCTAAGACCACTGACCGTGTATAGTCTTTTGCTGTATGTGTCACAATCATGGAATAACAACTTCAATTTTCAAGAGAATTTCTTAGCACCCTTCTGCAGCAAGGGTTACAAAAATGTTAGAATTGATCTTTATTCTTTGCCTGTGCTCTGCAAACTTCAGAATCAACTGAACTCCAGGGCGCCTGGGTGGCTCAGTTGGTTAAAGCGACTGCCTTCGGCTCAGGTCATGATCCTGGAGTCACTGGATCGAGTTCTGCATCGGGCTCCCTGCTCAGTGAGGAGCCTGCTTCTCCCTCTGACCCTCCCCCCTCTCATGTACTCTCTCTCATTCTCGCTCTCTCAAATAAATAAATAAATCTTAAAAAAAAAAAAAAAAGAATCAACTGAACTCCACTTTTCTAGCTAACATTCTCACTTGACAGATTCAAGTTTAACTGTACTTCTGTACAATGCTAAACACGTTTACATCGTCCCTGAAATTACTGTTTCTAGATAACTGATCTATGAAAGTGAAAATAAAGTCCAATAGCATTTAGGGATCCCTTCAATTAATAATATATTAACTATAAACAATTCTTTTTGAAACTACATTTACGATGGGTAATAAAACTGAAAAAGATTCAATGGTATTCCAAATCAATAATTACACAAATTAACTGTGCTGCTGAGATTCCTCAGGAGGGAGAAGTAATTTTTATAATTAACAGGTGCTCTGAAACCAAGTCACAAAATTAAATGAGTTTTTCTCAGCTGATATTATTCCAGCCACTCAAAGCATGAAAGGATTTTCAGTCTTTTGTTCATGTGAGATGAATGAAAAAGCTTTACTTACAGGCACTTTTAAAAATGATAGGCTGTTATCTAATAAGGTTTCAAAGAACCAAAGTAATATCATACCCTTTATAAGTGATTATGACCAAAATGTGAAGTGATAAGATTGTTGATTCGATTGTTTTAAAGGTTTCTTTCTTTACAGAGTGTTACTGAACACTGAAGTAATGAGCATTTGCATTCAGAAGGCTAAGTCCTGCTCTGTCACAAATCAAACGGAAAGAATGGGTCCAACTTACAGCTGACTGGAGGCTATGAAACCCCCAAAGCCCACTTTTGAAACACAGCTCAGAGGAGAGTGTCGTTGTGATCAGTATGTGTAGAAAATAAACATCTCATCAGACGTATGCACTGTGGAATTCCTAGGGAATAATTTTATTGACAGTGATGATCAACTTCACAAAGGCAACCAGAGGATCACATTATGTGCTAGGAGTCCATATTAACTCCATCTTTCTGACACACATAGGTGGATCCTTCTGAATGGACTTTTATACAGTTTGATCTTACCCTAAAGAGCTGTAAGTAAAACACAGACTGAGACATCAAGTGAAGACTCTCAAAATTAGACTAAGACACGGGAGTTTTACATATGACATGTGGTTTATCAGTAAGATAATAAAACTCCCAAGAGCTACACATGTAAAAGAACACACTGGCTGATTCCATTTTTTTTTTTTTAAGATTTATTTATTCTAGAGAGAGTGAATACATGCGTGTGAGCAGGAGGAGGGGCAAAGGCAGAGGGAGAGAATCTCATGTTGACTTCCTCACTGAACATGGAGCCCTACACGGGACTTGATTCCCGGACCCTGAGATCACAACCTGAGCAGAAATCAAGAGTCAGGTCGCTTAACTGAATGAGCCACCCAGGGGCCCCTGGCTGATTCCATTTAGATGAATTTTGAGAAAAGTAACACTCATTGGTAAGAGAAGTCAAAATAATGATTACCTCAGAAGCAGGGGGTAAGGGGGTGATCACTGACTGAAGAGAGGCATGAGGGAACCTTTTGGGATTCTGGTAGTGTTCTTTATCTAGATCTGGGTGGTGATTACATGAATGTATATGTATATAAAAGTTTATAAGCTATGCACCTAAGTGTACTTAATACACTTTATGTATACCTCAATTTAAAGACAAAGAACTTAAAGACTAAATGTAAAAAAACTGGAAGTCTTCCCTCTTAGATAAATACTTTGCAAAGATACCATGTTTTCAATAGAGATACAGATACACACGACAAGATCCATTCAAATCTAAATTTAACAAATCCTAAGAACTCAGCACAAGCTGTTCTCTCTGCCAAATAGTGGTGAAGGTGTTGTCACATTTCATCTCATTCATAACAGATGGAGATGACAAACAGAAGTATTTTAGGAGAAAGACTGACAATGAAATCTTGGCAGTGAAATTCTCATCTTTTGTTCATTAGGTAGACTCACACTATGGTAGACTAGATTATTATTCAGCAAATATTCACTCCCTCCCCTGGACCTCCATAGGAGAGTATACTTCTACTCTACGGATACTGTGTCTGGCCATGTGACTTGACTGGCAAGTAAGATGCTCAGGATATGTGACATAATAGAGCCTTGGCATGTGTTTCCATGCCTGGACTTGCCCTCTTGAGCTACCGGCTTTTTTCACCAGAGGATGAGATCTACATGGAGCAGATCTCGACTCATCGTGCAG